TGTTTCTTGTTTCAACTGCAAGATACATTCAAAGAAAAATTTCGAACCAGCAACAGAAGTCGTCGTCGCTCGGATTTGCATTTGAGAGCATAATTTAATGAAATGATTGTGTTGAATGATGTCTGTCCATGCTGCCTTTACGTTTATTGTTTACTCAGAAATTTTTGAAATTGTTCAGAAATTTCAAATTGGGCAAATATTGCAGTTGTCCCAGGCCCCACTTCCCAGGGGCCCCCCGAAGGAACTTAAAAACATTAAGGGTGAATTTTTGAACAGAGAACTATCTGATAATTTAGCTTTACTTACCGGATTTACAATGCATTTTCTCTGAAATAAATCTGCATTATCGGATAATGCTCTTTTTAAAAATCCACCCTTAGTATTCATGAAAGTTAAGTAGCGGATTTTACAAATTAAAATTTGCACAGCCAGCGGTTGACTGAATGGCAGTGGTGCCCTACCTCTTCGGATAAAAGGTCACATAGCTCACTCCAACAGCTATCGCAGGCCTGTATCACTCAACTCTTATCTGCCGTGTGTAATGGATGGAATGCGTTGGACAGGAAGTCATGAAAGCACTTCTGTACGAAGATGTACAATATTCCGACCATCCTCGATATGAGAAGTAGGAAAATAAAAAAGCCAATCACATAAAAAAGAAAGGGGGGAGGAATCGAAGAGTCACTGGATCAAGTTCAAATAAATTGAGGAATGACATTAATTGTAATATTTGGTGATGCTGGATTCCTTGCTTCTCATCGCGTACGAACGTCTAAGCGAGAGCAAGGGCAAGGAGCACATGAAAAGCGTGCTTCCATCCATGCTGAACCCATGGAATTAGGGGACAGTGGAAACATCATTTGGTATTTCACACCAGGAGCCCTCTGGGCATTTCACGCCCAGAGGGCTCATACCAATGGGAAGATGATTCCCCAGGTGTGCCAAAAACCTTTGACGGGAGTTAATCCGGCGACACTGGCCGGCGAAATGACAAATGACTCATTTCTCGTCTTTACCGCCCAAATTCCCAGCGCCTCGCCTATACCCATTTTCTCATGTGGTGGGCTAGTGCGAGTACAGGAGGAAACGTGCATAAAGGTAGTGGTCGTTCGCGTTGTGCTATGCTTTGAACATTACTTGCAGCCGAAAACAGTGATGAGTTTCAGAAAATGAGAGAGGTGCCACAAAGAGGAAAGCAAAGAAACTTGAACAAGAGGAACTCAGAAAGCACCCGAAAGTGACCGCTTATTTCGCTACGAGTTCACGCAGTCTGAAACAACCCGTGAATACGATGAGGACAGCGTTCTTTCTACAGAAGAAAAGGTGTCTTCCCTGGAAAGTGATGCGAAAAATAAACCGAGTACCTCTCGTTCTGCCATGGATGATAAACAGGATGGAAAAGTGCTGGAAGGTGATGCATATGTTCCTAAGGAGTCCAAGACGATAGCAGAAGACTTTGAGCCTCAGGCTACTACATGTGATACCAGCCCCTTCTCAGTGCTCGATCGAGACCCAGCAAAGTGGCCATCGCATATAAACGAGGCAGTTCGGGACTACTGCGTCGAGAAAGGGCCCGAATATTTTCAAAACAGCGACGGAGAGGACACGGCCTCGTGTAGGCACTACAAGAATTCAATGAGAAAACTCACTCCTTCCGCATTTGAGAGAGTTTTAGAGATTGGTGAAGTGCAGCCAGGAAAATGGGTGTTATATTGCAAGTCTACTGGAAATCGTTTTTGTTTCACTTGCAAACTGTTTCGCACCAGAAACAACAGCATATCTTTCGTCAATGGAGGCTTTTCGAATTGGAAAAGAGCCGAAGAAAAAATGAAAGAACACGAAAACGGAGTTGAGCACAAGAAAGCTACAATGCTTCTTGGCAAGGATCAGGCGAACCTTGTGGTAGAGCACATGGAAAGTCAAATGACAAAGGAAATGTCTTACTGGAAAGAGGTTTTGAGGAGGGTTGTAGCAGTAATCAAATTCCGCACAGAAAGAGGTCTGCCCTTCCGTGGTGACAACGAAACACTCGGATCTCCTCATAACGGAAACTTTATAGGTATCCTAGAGTTGCTGTCGGAGTTCGACCCATTTCTGCGAGAACACTTGCAGAGGCATGGCAGTCAAGGTAAGGGACACGTTTCATATATTCAACTTCAGCTTCAGCAATCTGCGACGAATCCATAGAACTCATGGGGAGAGAATTACAAATGCCATACGAAGTGAGATTCAGAAAGCGAAGTATTATGCCATCATAGTAGACTCCACCCCTGATTTGTCGCATGTGGATCAGTTGTGCATAGTATTTCGCTACTGCCTGTGTGGAGAGGTTCTGGAGCGTTTTCTTACCTTCGTACCAATACGCAGCCACACGGGAAAATCTTTGAGAGACAGTGCCCGCTATTGAGTGCTTTGAGTGCTCGCTATTCTCGGAGACAATGACATCGATATAAGTAATTGCCGGGGACAAACTTATGACAACGCCAGGAATATGTCAGGAGAATATGAAGGCCTGCAGGCCCATATTAAAAATATCAACAAACATGCTCTCTTTGCCCCGTGCAGCGCATTCGCTAAACTTGGTTGGACAAAACAGCGTTGATGAATGTCTTCAAGCAGTGAAATTTTTCCGTTTCCTGGAATCGCTGTATGTGTTTTTTGCGAATTCCACACGTCGTTGGGCCGTCATCGAAGAGACGCTCAACAGGCACTTTGTTCCGGTCAAAAGTCTCTCCCAGACGCGTTGGTCGTCGAGGGAAGAGGCAACCAAAGCTCTAGCACAATATTATAATAGCATTTTCGAGGCATTACATGCTATCGCCAACGACACCAATGAAAAGCGCGACACAAAACTGCATGCTGAATCTCTCATGAAAAAAATGCAGACTCTTGAATTATCATTCATGACAGTTCTTTGGAACAAGATTCTTGAAAGATTTGATAGGGTGAGCAAACACCTACAGAAACCTGAGCCTGACGTCGTTTCTGGGAAAAACTTGCTTGTCTCCCTCATTGACTACGTTGCCAAACCTTGGGAATGTTTCGACGACATTGAAGTAGAATCCAAGAACCTAAGTCCGCACGTGCTTCAGACATACTTCGATGAGACTCACAATACGCGACCACGAGCTCGATTGTTCCCAGACGGGAAGGATGAGTTGAAAGCGACTGGGCGAGATCGATTCCGGATTGAAACTTTCAACGTTATCATCGACAAGCTGAAGATCGAACTTGAAAGATCATCTGCCTACAGTGAGGTGGCCAGTCTGTTCGGAGTTCTAATGAAACTAGACTCCACGGAAGATCTTAAAAAAGAGGCTGAAACATTAATTCAAGCTTACCCAAGAGATTTAGAGCCAGCCTTTTACTGTGAATTGGAACATTTTGTGTCTTTCATTCGACATTCAAGTCTTGGGGATTGCGAGAGGACAGCGCCAAAACTTCTGAACATGCTGTACACAAGAGGCTTGGTAGATGTTTTCCCGAATGTTGCCATAGCTCTTAGGCTTTACTTGACTCTTCCCATCTCAAACTGCGAGGGAGAGCGATCGTTTTCAAAACTGGCATACATCAAAAACAAATTTCGATCTACAATGCTGCAACTTCGCTTGAATTCACTGGCACTCATGTCCATAGACCACGACCTCCTAAGGAAAGTTTCATTCGAAGACCTGATCTCCGAATTTGCTGCCGCGAAAGCGAGGAAAATGATGATTTAAGGCAAGAGATTCCTGTTCTATTTATTTAGCAAACAAATATATTCTCTCTGAGCATTATGTGGTAACCAATAAACTGGAATTATAAGTATACTTAGTTGCCCGTGAATTAGGTCAGGGTTAAAAAATTATTTTTGGCTAAGCCTTAGGGGGCCCCAAAAATACACTTGTCCCGGGCCCCACAACTTCTTAATCCGGCCCTGGGTAAGTTATATATTAATAAATATTATTCAATCCATCAGCAATTCAAAACGCAGGTCTGCCGTCGTATTTGTAAATGAGCCAACTAGCAGCAAGTCCATTATTTAAGAATCACCCGCTAAGAAGTAAAGTCATTCGGTCCCCCCTGGTGAAAGGTCAAGGAAAGGAAAGGTCAAGCACAACTTATGTAGCATTTATGAAAGACATCAACATGAGGAGAGTAGATGGGCTGCTACGATTTTCAATGTTTTAAGAAGGACTCAAGAATAATATCTAAGTTTAATCTAAAAATAACTTTGCGAACAATAAATAGTTATTTTTAAGCATATGTACGAGCTGGTATGTTTAAAGTAAAAGTAGTTACAGGAGGAAAATGCGCTCAGAAAGTGCAACATGTACATTACTTCATCATGTTCCGGGAATAAAAAGAAGAGGCACAACACTGTTTTAACGAAGGGTCAACGAACCCATCTCGATGAAAGCAAACATAATGCTGTACCTATGTTTTTAAACAATTCATTGAAACGCTTGAGTACAAAAGTGACTATTCACTGGTCTAAAGCAATTAAACTGAAGAATGACAGTGGAAATATACTTGTCAAAACATGATAGCTTTGTTTCATCTTGGGAGAAGGACCAGTTCTGTGAGCAGTCCTTGAGAGTAGTTATGTGTGCCAAGAAGCAGGATGTCTCCAGGAAAAGTGCATGAAGCAGCATTCTAAATTCATATTGATACCAAGGGTTTGCTTTAATCATTAATTTGTCTGATTAGGATTTTCGCATGATTGTATTGAATGATGCATGTAACTTCATTGGAGTGCTCAACCTCGTGAGAGAATTTGAGGTATAAAGAATCATAGACTTTTCGACTTTATTCATGCACTTAAATTACCACAATGAAGAAGCTATAGCACTTGGGTCAAATATAAATTTTGTTCTCAAGTATCGATTTGCAGTAGTAGTCCAGACATTAGCGATTGCAGATGTTACCGTGGAGGTGCCAGTTTAAATTCCTAGCAGGCGACAGGGGATACGCTTACATAGGCTCAGCTTACACAGCTATGGAATCTGAAGAACCGTGTACAGGGAAGAAAGCCTTTATTCCATTCCATGTATCTTCACAAAAAAGAATCCATGCTTTATTCCAATTCTGCTGTATGTGATCACTATTAATTAGAGAATATGGCTGCACTCTTGTTTTCAAGTGTTGATCAATGGGGTGAATGGAGCAACGGACTTGAGGATACTGTCAAGCAAATACTTTTACCTTTTTCACTATCACATTTCCGGGCGACAGAGGGAACTGCCCGAGCGTTCTCACATCGAATTACTTCTACTTTTGTTCTTTTTCCTAGCATGAGACTGAGCATTTTTTTCGTGCAATAGTTCATTCACATGATGAAATCACTGAGACTGGAACGTGTACTGGAAGCCTCCACCTGTTCGCTGGAGCTTCAGCTGACCGGGTGGGAAAAACCTAGGCAGAGGTCCACAAGGAAAGTGTACACGTGTCAGGATTTCTGTGGCTTTTGTTTCTTTGAATTTCAATTTTATGTCTCTTTTTTTCCCTTTTACTGAAATCTAAACAGGGGATGGGCGAACCTGCTGGGAGCCGGGGTCGGCTGTGAGTGAAACTGTGGTTGGAACTCATTCTGGAACTGCGGTTGAAACTGGGAGCGGAATCGAGGCAGAGACTGGAATTGAGGCTGAGCCTGGAATTGAGGTGTAGCCTGGAATTGAGGAGCAGCCTGGAATTGAGGTGCAGCCTGGAATTGAGGTTGAGCCTGGAATTGGGGTTGAGACTGGAATTGAGGTTGAGACTGGAATCGCTGCAGGGACGGTTGACGCTGCGGTGGTTCCTGTCCTTCAAGAGGAAGATTGTGCTGACGGATGAATTCCTGTTGCTGCTTAATCACCAGGTCCTCTTGTTGCTGATGGAGCCGAAGAGCCTCATCTCGGCTGATTTTCGGTCCTTCTTCATTTCCCTCTGGTTGGAACGAGGCCTGGAACTGGGGCTGGAAGCGCTGGCCTTGGAACTGCGACTGCGGTTGGAAGAACTGCTGCTGTTGGAACTGTGGCTGTTGTTGGAAGTTGTTGAAGTTCTGCTGGCGCTGCCGGATCTGGAGAACATAGAAATATCGCTGTCTTGCATCACTTCCTTCTGAGAAAGATATTGAATAACCAGGGCAACATTTTGGAAATTTGCCGGGAAAATATGCGGTAGAATAAAATTAAATATGATTAATATTTACATAATTCAATTCTGTTTGAAGACCCGATGAATGGATCTCATTCCATAAAATCGATGCAACAAATGGTTCAACTTAGCCGCCCACGAAACACCATTCAAAAAACCCTATGAAAGCTGGAAATGGAAGTTCCATACTCAGGGAACGATTTGTCACCGAGTTGAAAGTAAAGGTACCTGAGGCTGAAACTGGGAGACGCTGTCCTCGTTGTCAGTGGAAGAAACGGGATCTGGCAGAGCAAAGCCAGTCGGCAGATTGGTCCCCTTCACGATTCTGAACCCGATCCCTACACAAGACACATTTATTTATTTACCCCTGGATTCTCTTTCCTTAGAAATCGAGTCGAGAGAAAAGAGAGGAGACCTTTGCCGGCCTCATATTCCACGCGTTGCTTCTGGCCGGTGGCGTCGACGTACTCGTAGAATCCCTTGCGGATGTCGCCGTCGGAAACTTCGTTGAACTGGGTCCCATCCTCCTGCTGCACGGCGAACTGGTATTGACCTCCCACGTCTTGGGCTCTCTGGTCCGATAGGATTTTCACGTGACCACGGTTGTCCCTACCGCCATCAAGGCGCTGAGGGAATCCCAGTGACACGCCCAACACGCACAGACTCACCAACACCTACAACACCACAACATGTACTTTCAGATCATCGACGAAGAGCAAGTGCACGAATTTTCCCAACCAAAACTAAGGGACGCATGAAAGTAAAAGAAAAACTAAAAAAAAAGAAAAACCGAAATGTTTCTTAATAGAAAGAGAGAATTGTGAAGCTCGAAATGCATTTCCCCAAGACACATTGTGGTACTGGTCTTGGCCTGAGAAATGCTCGTACCAATTAATGAAGCCCGATTGTTAAGATACTTAGAAATTTCTGGCCTCATTGTCCTCTAGTCTGATATTTGGAACTTGATATATATTTTGCAACCTCATGACCTTGAATCTTTTTCATCTTAAGAACGATGAGACTATGTGTATCCGTGAGACTATCACCTTCAAGGTTCGGAATCATTCATCACCTAGACTAGATTCTAGTGCAACAAAATTTAATAATCGGAACGATACGCATTCCTGCTTCGCATGCAGTTTTGTTGCACAGAGAAAAGATATGAAGAAAGAACACCTGCTTTGTAATAATATAGTATGAATAATATGAGGTAGTTTCACTTTCTATATTGTAAACGAGAGTGACGAAACCTTTGCTCGCTCGCTTGTTTTTGCTTCGTTAAAAATTCCCAAAATTCATTTCTCAGAGTTCTTGTTGGATAGCACAATTCAGAATGCACTTAAAATAACTTGCCAAGAAATGTACTTCCACCAAGGCCCGTTGTGTAACACGCGCGCCATTGTTACATTTGTTACATACTTGTTCTGAAAAGTGAAACAGTTTGCAGGGAAGTCCGGGATTTCCTTTTTTGTTCTAACGTGGTGGAGTGTGTTAAGCCGTCACGCCGATTTGGGACTTCCGAAAACCTGAGCTCGTCACGCTCTCTATCCCCCACTTTCCTTCCCCAGCCCCCTCGATCCCCCATCCAGGAAATAAGAAAAGGAACAGTGCGCTTACTTTAGCAATCTCATAGTTCACTTTCTTTGCACGGTTGGAATAAAGCGTTGCAAATTGAGAACATTTGACGGACTTCTCCAAAATAAACTGGAATTTAAAAAAAGCAAGTCGAGAGGGATCCGGTGAAATAATTGTAAGTACACCCGATCCCTGTGTTCGCATTGAATGAGCGCAAATGAAAAGAATCCCAACTACTGCCTCAGTGTAAGGGAAACGATATGGAGGTGAATATCCACGGGGCTTCTAAGGAGAGTTTTCTGATTCGCACTGGTGAGGGGGAGACGAAGTTCCTTTTCTCCCGTACAAAATCCCCTGTGTACGAAATCATGATAGAAATGCCCACGGTCGACGGGGCATTTCCTTCATTTCCTGAGAGAACTTCGCACCAGTCCAAAGAAGGATTTGAAAGCCAATAGACTGTTGCGCTTCAAAGCACAGAGACAAGCACGCACGAGTTCACGTCTCAATAGAAAAGAGACTTCAATCGTGCAACGACAACGAGACTCGAAAATCCGAGTGAACTAACTTAGAAGACATAGGTTTACGATATTACGAGCTGTATAATCCTGACTATGGAAATAGGAACGAAACATTATCGGGATACTAGAACTACAGTAAATTACCATGAAGAGCTGAGGCATATCGAACTGCATATTATACCTAATAATATGTGTCATACAATATTTTATGTGTTATATTTAATATGATTTTATATTATTTATCACGATATGATTTTACGATGCATTTTTAATATACCTGATGCCATGTATACCTATTTAAACATTATTATGAGAGGAGGGTATCGACAAATTCAAATAAATAATAGAATTTAAAAATAACTGTGCGCAAAATAACTTAACTGAGGCGAAATCTCAAGTGAAAGTGGATGGAATATTGGAGAAAGAAAACTTTTAAGTAATGGAAAGAAAATGAAACAACTCCACTGACAGGTAAAAAAAAATTAATTGAAACTAGCGCTTAAGTTCACTTTCATTTAGTGGCAGACCTAAGTTTTATATCGAGTCGAATCGTTAGATGATGGAAGGGAGACTCACGGTAGAGATCATGATCACGGTTCACGTGAAGAGTATCTGCAGGAGTCAGGAGGGGGACTGATGGGGGTCTGGGGAGACAGGGAAGGGGGACTTTATAAGGACTCCACCCATGTGCAGGATCCCCCAAGGTTCTTTCTCTCTCACCTTCCCTTTTCCCCCCTCGTGTCCCTAGCTGATTCATCCTTAGTTTTCCTGGATAGTTTATCGTCCTTACCCTCGCATCCACGCACGTCATGTCCACTTCCTACTCGAGCGAGTAAAAGCACGCATTTTTGCGTCCGAACGTTCATCATTTATCGAGACCAGAGCAAACAATAATGAATACGACGAGCGATGATGACCTTCGTTCAAAATTTAAAAAGTGCACGCCTTCCTTCTGTTCGTGATGAAGATGGAAGTCGGTGCCGCGAAAGATGAGACTGGATGCGGGGGGAAAATTCCCTCTTCCACGTCCTTGTCAACAGTGATGAACTCTATTCGAATCTATTTGCCCATCTCATTTCTTGTCCCTCCTCCTGGTTGACATCTCCCGTGGCTCGTGACATGGACCTGCGAGGAAGAAAGGGGAAGGAAGGCAAAACTTGCCTTCAAATCGTCTTGCATACGGAAGGGAAAACGAATGGGAAAAAAAAGGGAATCTTGACACCGTCCTTCTTTCCACCATCTCGTATGGAATGTTGAAGTTCCTTCAGGTACATTCAAAGTCCTTCCCCTGAGATGAACGTCAAGATCACGGATCACGCATTCACACAAACCTACAGAAGCTAGAGGAGATTTTGTCGACTGACGAACTTATTTTCAACTTAGTTCTCGTTTCTCCTTACCCAAAATAATGTCATAATTATATAATTAATAGCAGACGTGTTATAGGCGTTTAAAGCAGCTGTTACGGTCGTATTGGACCTGTCATATATCGGGTTCCCAAAAATGTCCCGCACTTTACACCCCTGCAGACGGTGTACCATATGAGTTATTGACAGGAAATTTACAGGATTTTACATGCCATGTTTGCAGGTAATGTAAAAAAATTTCATTTAAGTCTGAAAATAAACTACATGAGTAACAATTTCTGTCCCGCACGATGTCAAAAGTGCGAGTGTGCAAAGAAACACGCCTGACTTCGACGAAAGAAATTTTTTATGGGTCCTCCATGGATGTGTCCTCCTTGGATCTTGGGCCGAGGCAGCACTCAGGCAGATGCACCCGCACACTTGCTCATTTGACGACTTGTACGGAACAAGCTCTTACTCATATTCAGAGCAAGGAATTTCATTGAAATTTTCATGAAATCACCTACATATATTGGGTGTGACACATTGAAATTTTCAAAACGGTGCTTTGCATGGTGTCCCTTCTGCAGACACACGAAGTTTTGGGACTTTTTTGGACCACCCGGTATCGAACGGGGAACTGGAAACGAACAGCATCCAGACATGCATGCAGACTTATGAATCACCCTGTACGCTTTTGGGATCTGTAGGAAAAATGCCTTTCGGCCTTCACATCCTTCATCGGGCGTCTCTTCCTATCTCACTCACGAGCTCATTCATCGAAAGTTTCACGCCTCATATATTTTCTCTATCGGCATATCTTGAGTGCTTTCTGCTCCAAACGCACGAATGTGAACGACTTGGAAAACATGCGTTTCAGTTGAAAATAAGAATACGATTGAGCAGAGAGACAAATAACATGACAACATGAATTAGTCACATTTTCTCTCTAACATTCACTAAAATATCCAAGTGAGAAGTCATCCACTCATCCACTCATACCCTCAGCCATAAAAGTTGCTTCTGACTACTTTCAGTACCAGTTTGGGCATGAGGAAGAGGACTCAAGGTGAATCAAAGGACACTCGATGATTGCGCCTAACGGTCCTTCCGAATGCACGTGAAGGAGTTCGCATGCTATAAAATAAATATTTGAGTAAATCCCCTATGACAGGAGATGAGGCGAGGAACTTGATGGAAGATAAAGGAGCGCGATCGTAACTGCGGAAACGTGAGGGTCTCGTCCTTAACCCCTTCGGAAGCAGCTTTTCTGACAAGCTACGAGAGAAGCCCGAGAATTTCTCGGACATACCTCTGCAGGGGTTAAACTACGAGCTAACTTTTTCTCCACCCCTTTCTCGCATTAGAGTTACTCGCGACGCTCTCGTTGCAGAATGAGACGGTTGGCACACGGCAGAGACATTTCCAGAAAAAAAAAGGCACGAACGGCGACCTACAACGATGTAACCTTGGTGTAATGACGAGATGCACGAGCATTCAAGGCGATCATCTTCCCACATCGCTTCGTAAGGAAACATGCACGCATACATCTCCATGCCCTTTTCCCTCCTCGTTAGATCACCATCGTCTGGAGAAACAAGGAAGTATCCCACCTGGTAACTAGGTCTCCTTCAAGGCTCCTTGGCCTTCACAAAAAAGCATATTCCCCTCTTCCTTCTGCCACGATCGGTAACATTCGTGCTGAATTCGCGCTCTTTTTTTTTTTAATCCACCATTGTAAAAAGGTTCATTCGCTTGCGGGATCCGTCGTCCGACCGCGCCCACTCTGCATGGTGTTTCTATTAAAATAAAGCCTAGATCCGGTTGCGGGCAAAAATGAGTCACGTGCCACAATTTGAAGATGAAAAAAACGTAAACCCGAGAGCAGAAATTCCGACGCGAGAGGCGATTCTCGAGTCGCAATTCAGTCAAAAAATAATGACTCGTCGATATGCCATCGATCTTGGGATTAGACGATAACGGTCCCCGTCCATACTCAACTAGGCATCCTTGAATAGTCAGGAACGACGAGAATTTCATGAATCTTGTACTGGATACAATTATCCAGAGCCACGGGAGAAAAAAGACAACCCAATCTATTTAATGAAGGGGAAAAAAAACTAGTGGAGCCGGTCTGAGGGGGAGAAACTATATAAGATGAGGGAGAGATGTTGTTCTGACAGTGTGACGGGCTCCTCGTTTCTGATCTGGTGAAAAGGTGCTGTGTCTCCGACGAGGTTCTTCAATATGCATCGGGTAACTAATTTCTCCTTTTCTTTTGTCAGTAAATGTGCATGAGAAGTTATTTCCAATCTACCGTTCGCGTTAAATAAAACTCATAAAAAAACCAACATCCAAATCCATTGCTTTCTGCCTCGTCAGCTAATTATTTGATCTTAAAAAAATATCAGGATATTTTTCATTCGCTCGTTTTTACTTCCTGCGAGAAGCAAAACGGGAGTCTTTCGTTTATTCACAGTATATTTTCAACCGACAAAAAAGAAGCTAACGAAATGACACGAGTTCCAACGAGAACAGTTTGAAGAAAAACAAGACCTCCTTCCGCGAAAGAGTAATTAATATTATTGATGATGTCCCTAGAGGAAGCATGCAACTCTGAAACCTCGAACGGTATTCTATTTAAATCAAATTTTATTCTATTCGAATATAATTTTCTGATAGACAAAAGTTGGAAGATCCCTCCCCACCGTGTCTCGCATCGTCCTGGAAATTTTGAAACGTTTCGTGTGCAAAGAGGCCCCACGATGAAATCCTTTTGGATGGGACTTGTGACCGATGTACGAGACCCGGGACAAGCCAATGACGTCACGTGACGAGAACGAGGCAAAGAACAAGGTCCGACGGGTTTCCGTAATTGTTCTAAGTGTAAAACTGGATCCGCGACGATTCCTTTCCGCGTTCGGTAGGTGGCGCACGTGCCGAAAGGCCATGATTTTGTGTACGCTTTCGTCCTCGACAGGTGGCTTTCATGTTGGCCGCGAGTTTGGCACTGAGTGTGCTGGAAGCGGAAGGAGCTCCGACTCGAAACACGGCTCGGGGAAACACGGAGAGCGTCGTCTTACACCTGGCAGACGAGAAGCCCGGCTCGAACAACGGCTCCAACAACACGTCTTGTTGCAGTTCCGATCCGAAAGGGAGTTCCAACAGCAGTTCCAATCGGAGCGTCAATTTCGACGACTTCAGGGAAGATAAAATGTCGGGGACCAAGGGTCCCACCGCCGAGCAACTCGTTCGACTGACGGCGTTTCTCAAGAAATTCGGAATCTCCTTCAAGGTCCGCGGAGAGAAGCTCACCGGTTAATGGCAACAAAAATTCCTCCTCCTTTCTGCTGCCGGTCGTACGCAAATCCCATGCCAAAATGAGGCCACGATACGGTAAAATTTGATGGACGAAACGATGGACACGAAGTTTCTTTTGTTGACACAACCTTTCCACTTGCTCGGCCCGAGTTCCTCGACGAGAAAATCCGCTCGACACCAGTTCACCGACGAGAAAAACCCGCTTCACACAAGTCCCTCGATGAGAAAGCCGTTCGATGCAAGTCGCAGACTCCATGCCGAAAGGCAAATGTCGGCCGATTCCACGTGGGAAATCTAGTCTCCATTTCCTCCATTTCCTCCTTTTTCTTCTTCCTTTCGCTTCTCTCGTGTACCCTCAGGACCCCACTGTTCGTGTACGTGTCTTCCACGAAACGTGCCAAATATCGCTTTCCCTTCGGTGTGAACGATTTCGAAACGCATTCTCTTTACCATTTGTGATCTTCCGTGGCATTACCAATTTATGAGTCATTCGATCGTTTATGAAATAAACAGCACATGCGACTTCGTCCGTGATCGACCCAGTCGTTGGAGTCACTGACCCTATCCCTCGGCCTCCGATCGGACGGGGAAGGGCATATCACTTGTTTTGAAAACAGGCCAAGGAGTACTCTTCCTCGTCGTTCGAGAAAAACAAGGAGAGAGAAACGCGAACCAAATATGAAATATATTTCACGTTCAGATCACAGAACAGGATTCTCATCGGCACACGTCGACCTTGATCTGAAACCTGGATAACTACGAAGGAAATCAGCATTCCAGTTTAATTTTTTGGAATTTGAGGAGTTTGGAAATTTAAGCTCGCCTTACTTCTTTTTCTGGAGCATGTTCCCAACAATTGTCCAGAAAAAAGTCGTAAAAATCATATTTCAAAAGTAGAATATCGTCTTATCTGGTGGACGAAAGGAACTGGTTCAAAGGAAGGCAGCTTTTTTATGGCAATACAGGA